AAGAAATGAATGAATGAAAAGATAAGTAAACATAACCAAATTAATAAATTTTAAACCAAAAAATATGACTCAACACAAAAGAAAAACACAATTAATAAATACAACATGGTACAAAATATTTTCTCAAGTCTAGCAGGTACATGATGAATAATTCAAATTACTTTCAAATCCATTTTCACACCTTCATCAAGCTTTTTCTAATCTCACCAAAACAGATAAGATACTGTTATAATCATATCAAATGCAAAAAGTTCAGATTTGTTAGAAAATTGCAATCATAATATTAATAAAAAAGGTAATATATACAAAGCAAACAATATGGTGGTTTTCACTTTGTGAAAGAGTTACAAAGCTTCCTGTTTTCCTGCCTCGTCCCAAAAGACTGACAAAAGGGTAGGCTGTGAAGGACATTATATCAAACTTGAGCCCATAAAAAAAGCCTTGTTTTATTTTGTTGGAACATGACAGATTCACCATGTATAGTTATGGCTTTGAATATGGACTGGCACCACCAGGGTAATTATCAAACTCACCTTATGGTGTTGACCATGAAGAAAGAAGTGAAAAGTTATCCAAAATGGTGAATCTGCTGGCGGAAGCAGGTGAAATAGAAACCTGTGAAGGCAGTATTCAACTAGAGACCACAAAAGACAACCAATTACGAACAGCGACACAAAGGAATATCCTACTGAAAAAGACCGGCTGTCATGGTTGTCGTTAAACTCAACATTCAGATGTTTTACAGCCATTATTGCTGAATAAATAACTACAGGAATCCAGATGACTGGCACAAGAAACCATGGAGTGCGGGAAAATATCTCTACAAAACTTGACGAGAATAGCCGCAATGGTCGGTCCACTGGAGAGTGCACCCATTTGATGTAGTTTGGACCAAGTTTGCCAACTTGTGCAAGCATAGGTTTGTCCCAGTCAACCATGTCCTGTTGATGAAGAAAATAACAAGGCTTAACATGACACTTACAGCACGTATGATGATAATTAACGTTTACGATGGACTGATTGAGCACTGGTTAATGTTGCAAAACGCTGATTGCTTGATTGGCTGGGTGATTTTGGTTGAAAGAGATGGATTGATATGACAGTTTGATAACTCAATGGTGCTTGCAACTGATTGACCATGTGCTTGATTGACAGTGATTAATACATCATGACTGAATGATTGATTGATTGTTTGATGAGTTGGTGATAGGGTGACTGGCTGATAGATCACATAATGATTCTGATTGGTTAAATAGCTCCATTCATCCATTCATTGATAACGAGTGATAAACTATGGATTCAAAAAAGCCCTAATTAATATGCAGTTTCCATGCCAATGCACAGGCATTAGAAAAATTCCATGTATGGCAACCTACAGAGATTGTATTTAAACACCTGCTTTACTTAATATTCATTGTTTAAATTGTATTGTAAATACATACCTCTCTCCAACCATCAACACAGACATTGTCCAAGTTATCCTCATCACTTTTACATTCCTGTAGAAACATAAAAATTAAGTATATTTTATTGAATTAAATGTTTTAAAATAATTATGTTATTATGCAAAGCCACATTATCACATTAAAAAGGGATTGAATTGTTGTATTTCTAAAACAATAAAAGTATTTTAGAAACAATAGGAGTGCTAATGACTAATAAGATAATTTGGAGAATATTTTTAGCATCAAAAATCTATGAAACATACTTGTACTGTAAATATTTGATATAAATTTCCCTGAATTGCAAAAGAAAACACAAATGTCATGTATATTGATAAACATTTATACGTATCTCAAAACCATCAGCAATGTAATTGGCAGTTTTAATTGCATGAAAAACTTCTGCTATTGTTGTGTTATAACTTACAATTTATTTACATAACACAGCTGCTTTCTGAACACGGATTTTAATACTCATTTTCTATTGTTTCTAAATATTCACAAGGAAACCAATTCAGCAATTTTTATGATAATTCATTATCTAAAATTTCTGCATAATTGAGGGCCCACCATWTCWTGAGTGCTTTTCCACCCATTTCGAAACTTTCTAAGAACAATTAAGCTGACCTTATRTTTTCCMAGAGGAATAATTTTGCCTYATCGGAAAATATGCAACTTTGGAAACGACTGCACAACGACAGGAGCTTTTTGTTTCTTTGAAGTTCCGTTCAAATCATTCATAATTTAGTTGACGATTTCAAGACCTGATAATTGTCCTATGATAACAACTTTTTGTGAWGATCGCGGCGAGCTGATCGTCACAGAAATTTCGAATTTCTTTCCCCCTCTGATCGGCTCGCAACTTTGGCAAACAATTAATTCTACGGTTTATTTCAACCTCTTTATCCAAAGCAATGTCCGTTATTAAGACACTTACCTTTTCTAGGAGTTTACCAATGTAGTATTTATGCAGCCAGCCATAGGCAATCTTGCTGTGCCTATGTGTTTGGTCGTCAGACATGATWGTAGTAATGTCTCTCCCGGAGTTGTTCAATAAAATGTCTTTCCCTCCCGGATGTCTCTCTAAAAAACTGCTAACGTCGTAAACTTTTCCAGAATGAATWACCCAAGCATCTCCATCTTTATTGTGTTGAGTGATTTCCTCGATGGAAAAGCTTGTTCCTTCGCATTCTGGCAATTCCACGTCCGCCATTTTCGTGTTGTGTAAGTTCAGTGGTCCGTCGCGAAAGTTCGTACTGGTACGAGTACGAGTTTTCATTCGTTTTTTTCCGAGACGGTTACGACAGCTGGTTTCACTCAAAAATCCTTAAAATCTCAGAAATTATAGCTTCAACTATTTTAAGAGTATGAAAAATTACCCTGTTTTAAAAAGAAACGAATAAAAATTGTGAAATATTCTGGTTTAAAAAAGAAAAATCAATATCAATTAAAAATCGATAAAAACTCGGAAATCTGGTACTCATTGACCAGCAGTATTCCCCACAAGACAAAAAATTTCATCAGAATTTTGAATGTTTTTGAGCCGATTCACTCGGCGAATTCTTGTTTCAGGAAACTRTAAATTGCGTATTTGYAAGCGTTACATTTGCGAGACGAACAGGATGGATACSACRCTAACTTCCAAGCAAGTTCGGCAAATGTTTGTTGATTTTTTCGTCAAGAAATACGAACACGTGTTTGTTCCTTCCTCGTCTACCATCCCTCTTGATGACCCTACACTYCTTTTTGCAAACGCTGGCATGAACCAGGTATTTCTTTATCTATTTGTATTTTATTGTTATGATAAGCACTAGAGCTTACCAAGAKTACAAYTGATTTTGATTTATCGTTGTTGTTTTTGTCATACGCGCGAAAGCCGGCCGGCTTTCAGCTGTTTTGATTCTKGCATTCCTTCACAAATTGCGATACTTGCAGTTTTTGGGAAGCTTTATCGAGTGTATTTGTGTACATTGTTGTACCTTTGCACGTACAAGGTACATGTACTTGGTTAAGTTAAATTATGATTTTTATAGCATCTAATAAAAAATGATAAAATCTAACGCCTTTTTCCATATAGAAGTTACTATTTACAGAAATTATCTTTCATTTAAGCTTATTATTATTCTAAAAGTCGATATTATCTAAATAGTTTATATTCTTACTAAATTTTATATCAGCATCAAAATTTGTAAGTATTTTTATTCATTTTTTTAAATTGTTGTAAATAGGTGAATTGAATATTATTATTATTATTAATATTATTATATTACATTGCAAGTATTTACATTGAAACAATATTGCATTATCTCAGAAGTAGTTAGTCATTTCCTTTTATTTTTTGAATAAGTTAAATAAGTTATAAGCATACAACTTTATTCATTCAAGACTAAATCCGTTTTACTGAAATGAGGCAAAAGCAAGTGTAGATTTAATAATTCCTATCTCTTTAAATGACAGTACAAATCCATCTTCTTGGAAACCGTGGATCCAAACAGCGATATGGCAAAACTGAAACGAGCCACAAATAGTCAGAAATGTATCCGTGCCGGCGGTAAACATAATGACCTTGATGATGTCGGTAAGGACGTTTATCATCACACATTCTTTGAGATGCTGGGAAGTTGGTCGTTTGGTAATTATTTCAAGGTTTGTAGAGTTCTTCAATTGATGTGATTATAATTATTTTTTATATATCTACTGTATCGATCCGTTTATCCTCCTTATTGTTCCCTACACTGTAGCTTGTACATTGTAGAACCACAGATAATTGTCAGGGTTTGTGTCGCCACTTTAAAAGCCCTGGAATTGAAAACTTGTTTTCAAGTGCACTTGAAAAAAACCTTGAAAATCTTGAAAAAACTAAATCTCCTGGAATCTGAGTGATGCAATTATTTTTCTAATTAAAGATTGAAATAAGAGTATTTTTCAAAATCATCATGGAAAATCAAACAGTACCTTATTTTTAAAATAGCTCTTGAAAAGGACATTAAAATTCCTGGAATTTTGTCATGAAAATGTACATGTATCACAGCCATGACTTATGCAGGTTGCCAGGGTTCAAATCCAGGCAAAACATTTTATTTATTATGTATTTTTTTATTTTCTGTTCTGTATTTAGCAAGAGGCAATTGACTGGGCATGGGAGCTTTTGACAGAAGTGTACAAAATGCCAAAAGAGCGTCTTTACGTGACATATTTTGGTGGTTATGGAGATATCGAGCCTGATGAGGAAACAAAGAATTGCTGGCTTTCTAAAGGGTAGGAGAGACATATTTTTATGTTTTGTAAATCAGTTTTTTTAATATTGATGCATTGGTTATCCATTCATTCGTTCATTTTATAAATCAATTTACTAACTGAAGGTCAACAAAAACCAAGCATTGTATGTTCAGTATTGGCCCTCTCAATAAATTCTTTACTTGCAATATGCGTAACAGCAACCATCTTGGTTGAACTTCAACTTGATATTGTTTATTTTAATTAATTGATATAACCTTCTAATTGTTAATTCATTTATTCATTCATCCCACCATTCATTTGTTCGTTTGAATAATTTGAATGAAAATCTGAAATTGCTTATTTTAATCAATGATTGACAAACTTATTCAATTGTTCATCCATTCATTTGTTCATGTATTTACTTATTTCATGCATTTATTCTTTGTTTAAATAATTCATGCATTCGCTCATCACACCATCCCATTCATTCTTCCCATTCATTCTTCCCATTCATTCTTCCCATTCATTTGTTTTTAGTATCCATCCCTCTCGGGTTCTCCCATTTGGAATGAAAGATAATTTCTGGGAAATGGGAGATACTGGACCATGTGGACCCTGCACCGAGATCCACTTCGATAGAATCGGGGACCGTGATGCCAAGGACTTAGTCAACATGGATGACCCTACTGTTCTTGAAGTATGGAATCTTGTGTTCATTCAATTCAACAGGTTAGTTTGATAAAGAATGAAAACAAAATAAAAAAAAATGACAAACAAATAAACTGCAAATTAAGCATAATTTTTTATTGGYTACTCTTATGGAAAACTATGTTCAGCTAAAAAATACACTGATTGATTTGTTGAGAATTGAAGAAATGCAAGTGAGAAGTATTTCCCATCTTCTGTTTCTATTMTCTTTTTGTTTGGATAAATGATGGTTTATACATGTATAATTATATGAATTATAATGGCTTTGAGGTTTTACCCCAGAGTTTTTCATACATTGTTACATCTTTTGCTTATTGTTGCCTTAAAGATGTGCTTCTCTTTTCTAGAGAGAATGGCGGCAACCTGAAACCACTTCCCAACAAGCATGTTGACACTGGAATGGGCTTGGAGCGTCTWGTGTCAATAATTCAGGGCAAGATGTCCAACTACGACACTGATATCTTTACTCCATTTTTTGACAAAATTCACCAGGTAAGGAAAGAACCAGTTGCCCTGACTTCTTGTATTGAAACTCAAAAATATGTGAACACACTACATATTGGAACTGAGAGATCTATTGTTTAGTCTGTTTTTTTTGTTGTTTTTTTTAATGATAATTATATACCTCATGTACAACTTCCATGCTCCAGTGGCTCAGAAAGCAGCTATATAATAATATTATATTGATTACCTGTAAATATTCATGACGACTTCACACCGATCTAAATGTGTCTCCATAAATTAACGATTTACCCCCCGTGAACCGCACGAAGAAGCGATCTGCAGGGGGTGTTTATGTAAATCACTATCACGTTGCCATGGAACTAACAAATAAAACCTTGCAGAAAGAGTCTCTTCTCAAACCAGTTTTATTAAGTTTATCAATCAATCGTTCTGCAAATTACCGCTTTATAAAATAATTTACGAAGGAGAAGCACTCCGAATTAGAATTCAGAGTCTAATAAGCCATTACACTAAAGTACGATTGAAAAAAAACAAACAAACATATTCGCGTCGTTTGCCATCGGAAAGTTGAGTTTCGACATCGCATTAAACTAGTGTTTTGATGGGAAGCAAAACTAGCGAGTTATCTGATTGTTTCGCTTCCCTTCTATGATAGAAAAAAACTAAAATATTCGCGACGAATTGACATCGAAAGTTTGTAAACTTAAAAGTTTCGACCGACATCATTGTTGACAATCTAGAAGGAGAAAAGTAGCGTTTGATGGGAAGCAAACTAGCGATTTATCTGAGTGTTT